TTTCGTGCATTGAACGTTCGCACGACGCAGTGAAAATAATCTCCAGAGGAGTGTGGGCGAGGCGTTTGTCCACGTAAGGCGGAGAGGAGGGTTGTGTACTGTTCTCTTGCACAGTGTTGGATTTCAATGTGCTACGTAAGCTCTAGCGACTGATTTTATGGCTTTTTGCCTCTCAGATATGCGAATCTTCAGACTCACCTCCACTGGTAGTGTGTCTACTGTAATCCTCTCTAAATACGACGTCGGAATAATAGTTGGTGTGAAGAATCGGTGACACCTAACCTCTCAATGAAAATGCAGAACAGCACCGAATGCCGGTGTGTAGTGAAGTAAATGGAAATGCACAATTGCCTGAGGGGTTTCAAGTCACTCACACCCTTGATTTGGCAACTGGGCAAGCAGCAAGACCCCTACCAACGCCACATATGTGCTTTCCCGTTGTCTTACCCAAACTCAGCATTGGCCGTCGATGACTGACTTCACCGAACCGCGTGTCGCAAAATGCCTGACTGAGTTCAAACATCAAAATACATTCTCTCTGTGCTCGGTGTGGGAGTAGTTGCAGCTGTTCGTGTTTCGTGCTGGGCGACAACTGAGCTGGTGTGATTGGTAGTGTAGGTGTCGGTGTCATGTCAGTTTGTTGTGGCCGGTGTATGTCTAAGTCCTTGGTCCTGAACTAGGCAAACACCCTAACCCTACTGGAGGACGCAGTAGTGACTGCGAGTCCTCACGACTACCTGTTACTTGACATTTTGACTCAGTGTTTGCAGTGTAGTTTGCTTTCGTTGAAGGAATTCGATGCGACATAGCGTTTGTGTTTGGTGCTGCAGAATGGACGTTTGCGTGTGCCTTGCGGTGGTCGTGGCGTGAACGTAGGTTTGGACAACACGTTGGGTTGGTTGAAGAAGTAGGCAGAATCACTTCCATTCAGACGCAACACTTGTGTTGTGGACAAGATGAGCTCGCGCTGCTCGGTGACGTCTTCTGCTCAAGTGATAAATGCCCACCTCCTTGTCGTCGTCATGAGCAGAGGCGAGGAGATGACGTCAAGACTGGCTCGTGCGAGGAGGCTCTGTGTAGAGACATTCACCCACGCCTGTGAAAAAGGCGTGGATTGTGTTGATGGGCCAGTGTGTGTGTGTGCGTGTGTGCGTGTGTGTGTGTGTGTGTAGGCGCGTGATTGTGGGGTACTCACCACCCGAATTGCCTTATTCATGGCGTCGAATGCAGGTGAGTTACCTCCCAACCAGTGCCCCCCAAGGCGAGTCGATTGCCACGAGGTAGATGTTTTGCTGTTCTGGTAGTGTTACACTGTTCTCAAGTAACGTAAAAAACATTTTTTTCTTAGATGACGACCTTCCCACTTCTGGTTTATCGTTTTATGCTCCATCAATCCGTTTGTCCCACATGTCATTGTGCTACCAGTCACCACAAACCCACAAAAGGGAACACAT